ACACGCTACAGTTTTCACGCTACAAATTTCACACTATTATAGAATAAGAGCATGATTCGCTTGCTTATATTTTTTTTGTTTTTTTTTTCTTGCATCTAAACGTTGCACAATTTTGCAATAATTTTATCATTATTGGAATCTTCATGCGCTTCAATTTCTTCAGACTTGTCTCTTCTTAATTATTATGTTATGTAAAACATAATAATGTTGATTTATATGCTTACAGCTTCAAGTCTTCAGAACCCGCAACGTCTTCAAAAACCGAAGCGTCATCGACGTCACCGTATACATCAGGATCTCGAAAACGCGAACATAAGCCAGATAGACAAGTTAGTAATAAGCGTCACGCTGCTCCTGCTAGTGACAACTAGAATATCTCCAATTATTATCCGTAAATGTACTTTACTGAACTTTACTCTATACCTAGTACGGAACCTCATATAACGAGGTTTACTTTAAACAATCTAGAAATATATTTTCTTTCATAACGTTGATGTTTCAAAAAAAGTTTGCAATTATTTTTTCTAAAAATTATCTTGTTCACTTACAAGAAGTATTATTATTGATATAGCTATGTAAACTAAGTGCTCAGCGAAGTTCAGAGTAACGTTCTTTCTTTTCTTTTGTATACGAATATTTATTTAAATAGATCAATAGAATCTCAGTTATGTGTTGAAAACACGAAGGAAATAAATAGATAAAAGAAGCATTTAAGATGTAGCTCAGATTTTACCATTAATTAAAGATGTCTACTAAAGTTTTCATATCTTATTTTCATATATACTCTATCTTTTAAAATATAATCGAAAATGTGTCACGTACATTGATAGGTAATGAATTTCTGTTAGTTTCATTATTGTACAATTAAATATATTAAAAAATATAAAGGGAATAATAAATTTGTTGTTTTAAATGTATTTTTTAGACCTTGCATGTTTCATTTTTCTCCTATCGATGAAAGATATCCATAACTTTAAAGGTTTTTTTTTTAAGGTGAGGTATTCTATCAATATATTACTTTTCCAGTCAAACAATTTATTCAAATAAAGTCAAATTTAGTGTATAATTGAAAGATACATATTACATTATTCTAAAGAAGAAACGACATGCAGCACAAACTCGCGCACGCGATAGAATAAAACAAGAATAGTTCCCTTGTACCAATATGATTTTAGTGCAGTCCTTTTTCTACATAAATAGTAATCTATTAACTGCATTAGTGCCAATATTGTTCAATGAAAATATTACCACACCGATCTATTACATTACCATAGAACCCAAAAGCTTACATGTTGAAAACTAAAATCTAAGATAGTATAATATTTAAAAACAAAATAATATTTAAAAACTTTTTAGTTACAACAATTTGATTTTTACTTCGCGTTGTATTCTACATAAAAAAAGCAAATATATAAAAAAAAATTGTCAGATTTAAAATTATACGTGTTTGTGTTGTAGATCATACTATTTGATCGTATCTGTTAATGTTTTCATTGAATTACATATGCAAAATAATATCGGAATTGTCGAAAACATTTTACAAGTCTTATTATAAAGCGACGCTTTGCTATAAAAGCTGAATCATGCATTTTAAGTGAATCATCTAGAATTGATGATCTTATATGCAAAATAAAATGAATTGACACAAAAATATGATTGTACTTTTGCGACAATTACTTAAATAAATTCAAATCATTTTTATATTAATCTTTAATCTTTATAATTTATCTCATTATTTCCATGAATAAAAAATCTACAACAAAAAATGAAGAGTTTGCAAGATTGCATGACTCGTCTTATATATATGCAAATGTAGCGTCGTAATAAAGCATGATTAAAACAAATAAAAGAACGAATAAGCTATGAGAAATAATAAAAAAGAAAGAACGTAAGAGGAAAGCGGGCAAAAGAAATAATAAAACGTGATGTTGTGTCGACGCTCCATTAATTGGAGTGACTTCTGTTTGTTAATTGTCCTCTGCTAAGGTGTTAATTCTTGCATTGATAGCCAACAACTGTGCCAAAAATGACGAATCATTCATGATAGTGGCTAAAGCAGAGAGGATATCTTGCAGGATATCTTGCGAAATATTGAGTTGTCGAGCACATTCCGCTATCATCTCCATTTCCTCGGTATCAGGACTTATCTGCAACAAATATTTTTATTGTAAATTTCAAGATATCCCCGAAGACATTTCTGAATTTAATCTCAAGATTAATCTCAAGAAATATATTTATATACCTTACGCGAACCGTGAAACTTATTGAATGCCATCTTGACTCGCTTCTTCCCGTTACCAGTCTGGTAGAAAATTGTGAAGGTCTGTGTATTGTTCATATCCAATATAACGGGGAAATATATGCCGGCGGTAACGTGACCTTTAGTATCTCTGGCAAGGAGACTTCTCTGGTTATAAACCAAATTTCTCCGTTCTGTAACGTCAATGGCAGTTAAATATGGCCTTGCCACATAAATGAGAGCTACTTGCACCCCTTCCAAGGCACCAGGTCGAGTTTTTATCTCATGCCACTCGACATAATCAGGATCATCGGCACATAAACAGTAGTTGTACTCTTTCTTACAAGTCGGTTCATCGGATTGTGTGAACCAGCCTGTATGAGGGTATAACTTATCGGCCATCACAGTGATAACGCGTGCTACATGGTAACCGGGATCGAGCAGCATGACGCCGCGACGTCCGCCAATCTCGATTTTCAGGCACACTAGTACATGCTCCTTTTCGCCGCTATCTGCCGCTGGTGGACCGCCAACATAGCCGGCGATATCACCAATCGTCTGTAAAAAAAAAAAACAATTTTTTTCTCATAAAGCAATTTAAACATATTAGATCTGGTCTTTTTAGTTAAACTTCTTACATGGTTCGTCTTCTCTTTTTTTTTTCTCTAATGTAAAAAACAGAAAAACAAGATGAATCATGCAAGAAGTTCAACTAAAAAAACAGATTACAGGTTTCAATAAATTTAAAAAAATATTCCAAATAATTGATTGACAAAAGAATTGTTTTTCCAACAGCTATTGAATATCATATTAAATAGTACAACTATATGTATATTATTGTATTAAAATAAGGACATGAAAAACACTTCTTACTTCTTCACAAGATACTAAATAGAGGCCACTTGCTATTCCTGGGAATCGCTTGTTCAATCCTGTTAATCGATGTAATAATTCAAATCCAAGACCGACGCAAGTATGGTGTTCGTGTGTTATCAGTGGCTGATATTTCCGGTAGAATCGATCCAGCACACTTTCTCCACTTGCAGTGTAGTCCTTGTAGAACCTGTACAATCGACATTGCGATTTATTATTTGCAAAATACGAGTATAATGATAAAATGAGAAACTGTATCCACATACCTGAGGAAATTGCCAATAGTGTCATAGCGATGCTCACGCAATAAGCGTTGCGTTTCAAGTTCAACGCTGCCTGCTAATTCCTCATACTGTTCGACCGTGGAGACGGTCAGGGCTGGTGACTCGTAATGGGCCCAGACCGGCAGGGGTAGCGGAACACCCCTGATCCAGGGCCCGCGTGCCTGCCCCTGTGGCTGGCACCATATCTCAGCCGTCTCGAGTCAACTCGGCCATTCGCTGCCCCAGCGGCCAACCGTTGGCACAAAGCCATGCTCGTCCCTGCAGCTGCTTATTGGCTCTACAGGGCTCTCTCCGTGTTTTATACTCTTCTCTCGCTCTGCATTCAAACATAACAAATCTTTTATTCCTTATAAAAAATAAAAGTAGAGATTAATTATTTCTTTGAACGGCCATGATACTCTAAAGAGTTATTTTTCGGCAACAAATTGCAATATATTATTTCAAATGAATTTTTTACTTCATAATCTCTATATGTATTCAAAGTGAAATGGAAAGATCTTTGTATCGGAGGAAAAAAAAATAGAAAAAGTAGGAAGCCCAACTTTAGAAAATTAAAAAAAAAAGATCTTTTTGGAGTTATATAATGATTATATAAGAATAAGCTTATATATTCGTTTAAGACAATACGATGGACCCTCTTCGGATACGATGGGCTCCAATTGCGACGCAACGCTACCGCGATGACGTTACTCCTCTCTCGCGGCTGCCGCGCGCGAGCAAACGATCTCAGGGACGTGTCCGCTATTACCGTAAGTCCACTGCTATTTGAGTACACGGATGAGCACGGTGCCGTAAGACAAGATCTGCGAGATGAGTCTGGAGAAGCGGATCGGATTTGTCATCAGCTCGGTATCCAACATGGCGGTGTTGTACGCTTGTTAGAGGACGCGCGTGGCGAATCAATACACGACCAAATAGATACGTAAGCGCGTGCCACGTGTCTACTCGTCACGACCTTCGCTGTGACACTTTGTCACCAGCTGGGAAATTCGCGGGATCCCGTTCGCGCTCCGCGAATCTCTCGAGCGGAAGCGAGAGAAAGAGAGCGAGGGAAAGGCGGACGCCCGTCACGTCCGCGGGATTTCCGCTACGGAAAACTCTTGATTCACGCGGAGAGAACGAAGCCTCCAGAAGCCTCTCGGAAGAGGGACAACAGTCGAGATCTATCGGTCGAGCCGTCGCCGAAGCGACGGAAACGCGAGGGGACATCGGAATTCAGGGGGAATTCTCCCTCTGTGATTGACCCTTTCAGCCTCGAGAGACTGAGTGGTCTGGAGGATAATATCGCCACGCTATTTACATTCGCTAACACTCCGTTCGCGCGCCGTTATCCGCGCGCGGCGAACACGAGCAGTCAGCGGATACGAGAGTCATCGATGACTCACGAGGGGGAGGCACAATGACTTCGAGGGAAAAGGGCGTGTGATGATAAACCACGCGAATGGTTTTGCGGGGGAAAGGAGGAAGTGTTTTTCTCTCTGTCGTAGAAAGAATCGTTCCCGCACAGTGAAACATCTTTAAAAAAAAAAAAAAAAAAAAAAAAAAAAAAAGAAAAA